ATATGCATTTATACATAACATACATATATGTTTATAAATGCAAGCAAAAGTAAACAAAATGCAAACTCACATTTACCCTGAAGTACCTTTTGACATCCTTTTAGCGAAATTGCTCTTCCAGTTGTTTGTTGCTTTTAGTCTTAAAAGTATTAAATATAAAAAAAAGATTATAATATAAATATATATTATTTGTGATAATTCAGTTATTATCGTATTAAGTATGTGCTTTACATAAATATAAGGGTTAAAAAAGTATTGACACCGAATATGGAAAGAATACTTCGTGGTTTTTTGCATTTCTGCACAATGCCTTAAAATGCAACTCTGAACATTATAACCTAAATTCGAACTACCTCTAAGTCATTCTGAGTATTTTATTAATATACTATTAAGGAAATGTTCTATCCCCTTTACACTGCATTCAAAAAAATATGCACTAACCACATACTAGTAAATTTGACCTGATCACATTATTAGAAAAGTTTTAGCTCATATGGTAAAGAAGACATGGAAACCAACCATACTACATATGGTTGGAACAAAGTGACGCTTTGAGTAAGAATATTTTGACCTGAAATTAAGTCAAAATCTGGTTAAATCAACCAAATTATTTTTATGAGCTTGCGAAAAGAATTTTGATAAGGTCTTGTTTTTATTTGTTAGTTGTTCATAGGTTAAATTTGACATTAATAGGACAAAAAAACTGTGCACATCCAACTCAAAAACGGCTTGAGTAGGCATAAGCTACTCAACGTTCAGACTCATTCGCGTCCTAATTACGTATGCGTTCCCCAATAGTAAGTTTGCGAGTTCTTGAGAGGAAAATTCTCAGCAACTGTATCAACTACTCAAGATGCAAGCCCAATGAGCATCACCACTCCTGTCGAGTTATTCACTCCACCGCTAAAGTGGAAAGGCGAACACCTACTGGCCCTGGAGCGCAGATATCTAAACCGTCGACATAATTTCTCCCTGGGAAAAACTGCTTCCATTTTTCAAGCAGAAGTCCATGCCTTAGTGCTTTGTGCAATAGAATGCATACGAAGGGGCACCCGAGGTACCAAAATATGCATCCTGTCAGACAGCCAAGCAGCTCTAAAATCTTTAGGAAAATCCTTATTCCAATAAAAGTTGTTCTGGGAATGCTTTCAACTTCTCAACACCCTAGCATCGAGGAACTATGTTACTCTTATGTGGGTACTGGGATACGAAGGGCATAAGGGCAATGAAATAGTAGACTCCCTAGCAAAGAAGGGTGCATGTACTCCTTTCATTGGTCCAGAGTTCTTCTGCGGGGTAACAAATAGCTTCACAAATAGCTTATTATGTGAACGGGAGAAACAACATCTACTTGAACACTGTAGAGCCAAAACAGGCATGCGACAGTCAAAAAGATTCATTGATTCTGATCACATCAAAGTTGGTGCTATCCTTGGCCTTAACGACACGATATTAAAATTTATACTGAACTTCTTACAGTACACTGTAGACTTAATTACCACATGAAGATTATAGGTGTGGTAGAAAGTGACTCCTGTCGACTCTGTCATGAGGAGAAGGAAACATCAGAACATGTTCTATGCAACTGCCCAGCGGTGGCAAGACTTAGATTCGATTACCTTGGAAGCGGGATATTAGTCCCAAGTCAAATAGGTAAAATTAAGCCCACAGCAATTACAAGATTAATAAATAGTCTAACATTGTCTTAGTTGGGCTTTTAGGCGCACAATAGATCTTTTAGGTCGGTGTGCTTTAATAACCTATTACTTAAATAATAAATAATAATTTCTCCCTGACATTCTGCACCCCAAAGAACTTCCTAATGAGTTTCTCCAAGCTCTATACCACAGATGTCTCCAATTTCTTGCCCTCTACTTTGACTCGCTCTCCCATTCTATTCCGCTGAGAGAAGCATTTCTTCTCCCTAGTTAATGCTCTTTAAGTAAATACCTATTATTCGTAACAGTTAAGGGTCACTGCGTCCTCAATCCTAGCTCACCCTTAGCTGATAAATTTGTAACTACAAATACTAAGCTCCTTCCCCCTGATTACTTAAATGGAGTTGCAACTGCTGAATTCGGCTGGAATCTTCCGCAACCGTTTCTTTAAGGTGGTTTTAGTGGGTTAAAGTCTCACAAAAAAAAAGATATTTGTTACTGAATAATAGTGTTCTGACTAAGTGCGGAGACACAGTTAGCCTCGTGTCCCACGAACAAATTTGAATCGACATTTTGTTTTTTCTCTCACTCTCAGTATTTTAATTTGCATTGAAAGCAACAATTATGATTTTGATAAGGCTAGGACTTTCTGCATAACATGCCGCTTTTAGAAAGTTGTAATCAAATCAAATTTGAAATTGCTTTTGGTTTCAATATAAATTAAAAAATCAAGTAACAGAAGAAAAAGCGAAATTTCTATTTAAATTTGGTCATGTGTCGAATCGTTGTACCTAACAAAGTCTTTGTATACACAACACTCGCTACTTTGGTCAAAACAGTGTTACACAATAATTATAATAATGTCAAAACTTGCATCTATTGGGAGTAAATATATATGTAAACACATATTAAATTAAGGCACAGTTAAAACTTTTTTTTACCGTTTCATAACCGTTTCATAAAGTTATGACCAAAAGTACGTAAAATTACCGTGACAAGTGATCATATGACTGTCTGCACAACATGGCCCTGCCCTAAAGCATCATATGTTCAGTTTAAAGTTTAGTACTTCCAATGTATAAAATTGGCAACTCTGTAAAATTACTGGAACAGAGTTTGGGATATGGTATTACATGTATAAAGATCAGAACTAATTATTTGCTTATGACCAATGACGTTGTCAATGCACAACATAATCTTTTAACTGTACATACTTATGGGCAAGCATCAAAGACTATACAAATAGGAAGAGTACTAATACAATATATACTATATATACATATCACACAACCATACAAAGTTTTTTATGTTAAAT